TTCTCTTTCTCTCTCTTCCCTTATTTCCTTATATTTCATGATACAGTTCCATAGACTTAGGGCTTTCACCTTTCTCCCTTCCCATTCTGGATCTGGTGTAATGACTCAACTGGCTAATCCTCCTCTCATAAGTGCCAAGATCCCACATGTGCACAGATTTGTGACCCAGATGCTTCACTTCCCATTCATCTCCCTACATATGGGAAAGCCCTGCCAGACGCACAGAGAAAAAAAAAAAAGTTATGGAACATTCTACTAATAATATTAATGAAAATATTATCAATGCTTTTCCCTTGTTTTTCTTTCTTGTCCTTGAAAACCTTTGGTAACATAAATTTTGGAATACACTTGACAGTTAAAGAGACTTCATTCTATGTCACATGAAATCCGTTGCTTTTGATCGAAACAATATAATCCCCTTCGTTACATTCAACTTGAGCTATTTTTACAGTTCATTTTTAAGTACTGCTGAGATGTAACATACAAAACAAATGTCATTAGAAATAATTTATAATGCAGAAAAAAGTAAGGAATGATTAGTTCTCAGAACTATGAGGGTGGTAAGCTCTGACATTTCTGTAACAGCATTTACTGTCTTGATGTGTTGATGCATGCTTATATATCCTGCGGCTGCATTTGGACAGCAGGCTTTACAAGGTGCAGAGAAGATGTATTTTCAAAATTGTGCTAAAATTTTGTTGAACTACATAAGAACCAGGAGTGATTCTTGTATATGGGTTGTTACTAATGACCGTTACATTGAAACTATATAAGCAAATAAAAACAACAAATTTTCCTGTTTCAGAAAAATGAATATGCATTCTTAGATAACTGAAACATCACCATGAATTTGTGTTTACAATGACTGCACTTGATTTATGAGAATAAAACTAATATGAAGATTACAGGATAGTTTCTATTCAGAATCATTATAACTACAGAGGTCTATATGATGAATATGTTAAGAATATTAACTATGAAAAGATATGCTTCCATATCTTTTCATATCTTTTTCAGCACCCAACAGCTACAACAAATAAGGATGACCATAAAAGAAGTAACATTAATCAAACCCCAAATGTATATGCATTTCAAAGCAATGCTCACATATTTTATCCATCAGTCTTCATTCAGGGTGGTATTATTTTTCTCTATTAAACCAAATGAATAATGACTGGGAAGGTAATCGATCAGTTTATCTAAATATTTAAAAATAAGCACATTTCTTAACCCATTTACATCCATTACATATTGGTATACTGTAAGGCTACCATTTGCATGTACTTATAAATATTTTTCAATTCCTACAGAATGAAATGAACTCAACCAATATTTTAACATGCTTTCACTTGTATGCCAAGGGAATTCAAATCCCAAATGAGAACCAACCTGAAAGAATTTAGGAGCTGAAATCAAACACTTCAATCTAAGTGCAGTGGAGCCATAATGCAGATATAAGACCATATAAATAAGAGCTACTTAGATTCAGCTGTCAGGTTTTAAAATAGGCTGTGGAGAAAGAATTCAAGAGTGTTGCCTAGGCTTTGTATTTGAATAAATACTGAATTAGAAACAGTTGAAGGAGAGAAGGTTTTGGGAACAGGTGATGAGTTCAAATTTGGTTATAGAAAATAACTTAAGAGCAGGCATAATAAAAGAGACGGGGGAATTCATGTCAAGCAGAGAAGAGAAATAATGGTTAATCACCAAGCTAGCTGCATAGTGAGAAAAACCTACAGCTTGAATAAGGAAGATTATGTCATTAAATACATAATTTTAGTAAAGTTTCAATTACTTCCAATCAACGTTTTAAGTCAGCTGTGCCTTAGTTCAGTCTCACCTGAAATTTATATGGACTAGTGCTTTTTAAATGTCATCCAAGAACCAGAGATTCCTGAAGGGTTGGATAAACAATTATTCAAATATAACATTTTGAAAATAATAACTCTGAATGACTTAATTGTTTTAGCAGCATGAATACTCATCCAACGTGATATATTACTACTATACTGAAAACGATTAGTAAGCTAAATAGTGCAGTTAGGCTTGTAACTTCATTTTGCCCACCTGCCAAGAGTCAACTTCTGTCACCATCTTGGTATGACATATGACTATCTGCCAACTGTTTCTTTTATTGGGTAGCTTTGAAATTAGACTACCACCAACCAGCATGTTTATCAAGTAGAAACTCTTCCTTGCACTCCAAATCCAGAGAAATCCCAGAGCTTTTTACCTACAGCTAGCCTGCCCTGTGACACAATAATTTTCTGAAACTTCATGGTGCATAAGATTTTGTTCGGTGTAAATTATAGATCACTTTTTCTATATTTGTTAAAAAATTCAAATACAATGCTTTTTTGTCTTTTCAATCATTTATTATCTGATTTTTTTTTCCTAACAGGTATCTCTTTGCATTTCATTGCTTCTTGTGCTAAATCAATAGTTTTGTCACAGTGAGAATTATATGTTATCCCATATCCTCATCTTCCTCAGTGAATACTGATGGAATGAAAAAGATCCAGCAGACATTTTAAACTAAATGTCACAAATACACACCCTGAGCAAAGCCTTGCTATGGTACAAGAGGAAGAAACTAACCCACAGTGTTGAATCAGAAGCAGCAGAAAGGACAAGGCACAGAGATTGCTATTTGGGAGGAGCTGTGTCTTCACTTTCATCTAAAATGAGATTCAAGTCTGTCTCGTTTCAATTACGACAACAACCCTCCCAACTTAGTGGTCCAATAATTTGTGCTTTTGTGTTTAAACTTCTTTAAGTTAAACCTCTTCCACTAAATCTAAGATTTCTAATCAGAACACCACGTGAGTGTAATTCGGGATTCCAAGGTTGAATTAGTATTAATAGTAATTGGTAAAATAGGCATTGGGTATTCAGTAAAAACTAATCCAGGTACAGTTTTTATGAATTTTAAAAATATAACTCATTTAATTATTATAATTCCCTATAAGGAATCTTGTCACACTATTTAATAAAGAGACTGCGACTCCTAGTCTGTAATTGCTCCAAAGGAACACCAATAAAGGTTGGAGTTTGGGTGTTGATACCTTTTAGTTCCAAAACCAAGACTGCTATTCGTGATTATACACCTCTTCTCTCTCCTGACATGAACTGAATTCTGATTCAGAAAGAGATAATGCTTATGCAAGGATTTTGAAAACTGCACAGCATTAAAGAGAAGTCATTTTATATTATAAAAGTGTGAACTACATTAAGGCTTTGATAACTTTAAATCTTATTATTAAATCAGCACATAATTTAATCAGCACAATTCAGTCAAAAATATCCCAGAGAAGTAGATACAAGAGTCAATTCATATTAAGAAGTAACATTTAATCCAGAATAAATAATTAACCCTAGTGAATAAAATCTGCTTTTCTTTAATAACATTGCTGATACTGATGAATAAGATTCATGCACATCTCGGTATCAGTGCAAATTTTCAAAAGCATATTTTATTCTTACCTTGTTTAGCACATTTCAGTGTCTCGGGAAATGAAATATATTTATTTTCCACTGTTAATGGCAATCTACCACTATTATGAAAGTTTTATTAATATTGACTCAAGATGGTAAACTTTTATGCAATTTATATGAAGCTCAATATCATGAACAGGGAACATTTATACAAATTTCAATTAGAATCCCATCCCTTTGCATACCTTGAAGACTGCTTAATGTCCCAGAATGAACCAGCATTACATTTCAATAAAATTAAATGAAGTAGTCACTACACCGGCCACACTACACATCTTAACCCTGTTTCTTTCACTAGTACTATATAAATGCGTATTCATGTGCTTAATAGTTTTTACCAAGTCTGGCACTAAGACATGTTCTTCATGCATTTATATTTCAGACTCATGTTTATTCTTATTTATGCTGACAGATTCTTGACAACAGAATGTAGCAACTGATGGTACAGTGAGCAAGCGAATCCACACTATTAATAAATATTATGAATTAGTCACTCCTGTAAAAATTATATTTATAATTAATACTTAAATATTACTATGATTTAGAGATGACTTGAATTTAAGAAAAAATTCTTTTTGTCTGAATCATACACTGAATCAGTTACTCTAGCAATGCAATGTTTTATGTGGGTCGTAAAAATGTTAGAATTAGATCAACATCACCAATAATATTAAATTTATATAAATATTGCAATCAGTCCAAGGAAGACAGTCCAAATAAATGAGACAACTGGAGAATATCAGAAAATAACATATTAGGATACAGGTCGAGAAGCTGAATGATAACATCCAACTATGTGATTAAATGTAGGTTATATGAATTCACATGGTGATAAATTTGATTTCCATAAAAGTCTAAAGCAGTTTTAAGAGTTTACCTAAGCCAGTTTCTTAGTTCCAATAACATTTCTCAGAAATAACCCCTTCCACATTTATATACTTCACAGAGGCCTGTTTTATGAGAACACATAATCAGCAAAATAAAAGATAACATAAAATGAGAAAAAAAAATTATGATTTGTTTTAGTAGTGTGTTAATGAGCCACAGCAGGGTAGTTCATTTATCATCATTTAAAGCTAAACAGATACAAACATAACTAGTGATTTATATTTCCTTGATTTTTACACAAATATGATATTTTTAAGCTCATTTATATTCATATGAATTTGACTGCCATTTAAGGGCTAGATGGTTTGATTTCACAAAACATATTTTTGCTTCAGTCATAAAGTCTCCATATACACGGTCATTTCAAAGTTAGTATCTACTTATTTTAAGCATTCAAACATTACATTATTATCATAAAAATATAAATCTACAAGTAGAATATAACATAAAAATCAGTGACGATATTTTTTAATAAATTAGGTCTAGCTAGAAACCAAAGTGCAAAAAAAATATTTTTCTAAACACTATATTTCACTTATGCTTCTGAGAAGTTGCACTCTCTTTCCTAGAAAAAAAAAAGTTGGAAAAATCCATAGCTTAGTAGAAGTTTTACTCACTGAAATTTATAGTCCAGTCCAATGCTTTTATTTGTTCCAGCAGGGCTTGAAGGGAAAGCCATGGCGAAGGAGGGGAGCCATTTCTTTCCATGTGTCATGCTCATTTTCCTTTCTCACTATGCTGCGTGTGGTAAGAGAAGAGAAATGGAAGGCTTAAGAGAGGCTCTTAGTTCCTTAGTGCCAATTTAACTTACATTGGTGCCATTTTCTAAGTCTGCCTCTGTGAGTTTCTGTAAGCCATAGATGGCCCTTCCCAGAGTGTTCAGCCTGGTTCCTTTCTCTGATGTCTCTTCTTTAGAATGTATGATCATTCTATAGTATTCTAGATTTGAGGCCTCCTTCAAAATCACAGTTCTTCAGGAAAAGCCCCACTTACAAAGCTCATGGAAAATGAATTAAAATGCAAATTTAACTTGGTGTCAATGATTTTCACACCCATGTATATTTTTCTTCATATTACAAATTATCCAGAAACTTTTTGATCACTTATTTGTATTATTATTTATTGGAAAAAACAACCTGTGAGCTAGTCCAATAAAATAGTATTTTGCAACAAAATATTTAAAATAAAATCCTTTTTGTAAAAGGAAGATTTGAGTCAAGATGGCATAGGATACATTATTTGATATGCTTCTACCACTTAAAGTATAGAGAAAAAAAATAAAGTACAAGCATTAAAAAAAAAAATAAGGCTACAAAAGACAGCTCTAGGCTAAAAACCAAGATGAAATATCATGGAATGAGAAGCAGTGGAGAAATGCAAATTAACAAGTAGTGTTAAGATCCAAGTCTATGGTAGGAAAGGGCGAAGGGGGCAGGACTTCACTTCCTTGTAGGTAAAGAGGAATCGAAACACATTTTCCATTTGAGTTGGAGGACCAGGCATAATAGTGTTCTCTTGAAGCCAGGGCTTGCAACACAGTTCAGTTGTTGAGTGAGAGGATAGAAAATGGAAATAAGCAACCCAAAAAATACAGCTGAAGCTGATTATGGTTGCTCACCTTAGAAATGGAACACATTTTGAGAATCAAGACGGTGGAATAGAGTAAGGACATGTTTAAACGGACAGAGAAACATTTAATCAGGATGAAGCAGAGAGGACATATTTCAGGAAATAGGAAAGGACAGAACACAGCAGAGGGGTACCTGGAGACTGACCGACACAGCAAAGCAGTGGGCACAGCAGTGTGGTGTTCCAGTGACTGAAAACCCAGCACAGCAATCTGAACTCCACAAGCAGCCAGAACTCCACCAGCAACCAGGTGGGAAGGGACTTTCACTGGGAGCTTGGGAGGTGAATCCAGACAAAGAACTGTCTGTCCTGCTGCTCTGTTTGATTTGACCAGGAGCAGAGACAGAGCAGCAAATCTCAGACAGGCAGTGCGAGAACAGAGTGGATTTCATAGCCCAGTCAGCCCCCTAGAGCTGAATTGGGCGCCATTTTGCATAAGGAGGAAAGGGAAAGGGAAAGGACAGAGCATGCTCTGAGCTGTGAGTGAGCTCATTTCTGACTTGGTGAACTGTAAGGACATGGCATTCTACGGGTTCCACCCAGGGCAGGTATGGGCCAGGGGATCAAGATCTGACGGCCAGCAGTTCAAGAATTGTAGTGGTAGCATGTCGGGCGCCATTTTGCACACTGTGGCAAAAGTTTTGGAACTGCAGGGCCCAACAGTGAACTGCGTATATGCTGAGCTCGTGAGATGTCACTGAGGTCCCGCAGGAAAATAATACCGACTGTGGCATCTTACGGGTCAAAATAGGTCCATGTGGCACCCAGACCTAATGTCCAACAGGTTCTGGAAAGATTAACACCACCAACAACCTAACTAGATAGGACACCTGGTGTTTCTCTCATCCTGGGACCTGCTCCAACCGGAAGTAGGGGAAAGGTTGCAGAAGCAATGGTGCAGCTTTAGCACAGTATGACAGGAGGTGGAGAGTGGTGAGCCAAGAGCTGGGGCTGTGAAGACCATGGTATAAATCAGACATAAGAACCTAGGCCTGGAACTCGCTGGAGGTTGTGGCACAAGTGGCTGCAAACAAAAAGTTGTGTACCAACTGCAATAAGGAAAATCGCATTGTAGACCTGTGGGTGACACAGCTTAGAAACCTGCCCCAAGGAGAAGACTCTGCTAACCAGAAGTACAATGATCAAGAGCAAGAGAAGAGATAAAGGAACAACGAATATTACTGAAAACTCCCCAGCAAAGGAGCAAAACCCTTTGCCAACCTCAGAGTTAACTGAGGAAGACATCAAGAAAATGAGTGACACAGAATCCATAAGACTCATTTTAAAGAGTCTGATATAAATGAGAAGCTCATGCAAGAGTTCAAAGAATTTAAGGAAGCAGTAAAACCAATCAAGGCTGGCATATCAGAAATTAAGAACACAGTAGAGCAAATTAAAAATACAGTGGAGAGTCTCCAAAATATAATGAAGCAAGCAAAAGAAAGAATCTCAGAATTGGAAGATATCTCCTGTCACCAGGGGGAAGCAACCAAAAAGTTGGAAGCAGAGCTGGATCAGGCCAAAAAAAAGTATTCAAGAATTGTAAGACACTATTAAGAGGCCAAATCTAAGAGTTATGGGAGTCCCGGAAGGTGCAGAAAAAGAAGCTGAGTTTGCAAATGTATTTAATGAAATAATCAAGGAAAATTTTCCTAATCTGGAGAAAGAATTGGAAAACAAGATCCAGGAGGGGCACAGAACTCCAAACAGGCCTGATCAAAAAAAATTTTAACCAGGACATATGGTAATCAAGCTCTCTTCAACTGAACATAAGAAAAAGATCCTTAAATGTGCACATGAAGTCCAGCGTCTTGGTATATGCTTGCAATGAAGGAATCTCAACTGAACTTGAACTGTGGTTATGCAGCAAGGTGGAGGAATCCACCATGGGGGGAGGGGTATGGGAGCGGTGGGGGGAATCCCCAGTGCCTATAAAACTGTATCACATAATACAATGTTAATAACAATAAAAAAATGTGCATATGAAAAAAATCAATTGACATATAAAGAAATGCCAATTAAGCTCACAGGAGATCTCTCACAGGAAACTCTACAGGCAAGAAGAGAATGAAGTAGCATATTCCAAATTCTAAAATAAAAAAATTGTCGGCCTAGGATAACATACCCTGCAAAGCTTTCTTTCATGTTTGAAAATGAAATAAAAACCTTCCAGAGTAAAGAAAAGCTAAAAGAATTTGCCTCTTTCAAACCTACCCTACAAATGATACTTCAAGATGTTCTCTTCACAGAGAAGAGGAATAACACCTACCAAAACCGATGGCAAACGGGAAGAACATCCCAGTAAAATGACAACAGAAGACTAAACCAATGAACAACCCATTCCTGAAATGACAGGACCTCTGAATGTAAATGGCTTAAACTCAATCCAACATCTTAGATTAGTAGACAGGATTGAAAAACAAAACCCATCTGTTTATTGTCTGTAGGAGACACACTTCAACAAAGATCAGCAGAAACAATCACATGGGCTTTGTTGTTTTCTGTTAGTTCATCTCTTCAAAACACTTTCTTCTGATTAAATTATTCAATGACTCATAGATCATGCAGTGGCATCATTTTCTTCAAGAAGGTTCTTGATTTTCATTCCTTCAGCTACACGTTAGTTATTTAATAGCATGTTGTCTAACTTCTTGGTGTTGTTAATTTCTTTTTTTCTCCCGGATGTTGATTTTGTTTTGTGGCTTTTCATTTAAGGGAATCTATAGTAGCTGTGTAATGGAGACTGTCATATCTAGTAACATGTCATTTAACTTCATGGCGTTGTAAATTTCTATTTTTCTTTCTATTGCTGATTTTGTATCATGACTTTTCATTTGAGGGGATGTACAGTAGTTGTGAAATGGAGACTAACATCCAGATATGAGGATGCAGTGTGGTATGCATTTCTGTTTCCAGACAAAGATGGACTTACAGTGAAACTGTTTATATTATATCTTGACAATAGGATTCTGGACTCTCTGCCATTTTCCATACCCACAATGATGGGCATATGACTGAGTATGAAGAACTATATGTTAATAATGATATAAAGGAACTAGGTGGGGGGAGGGAGGGAATTGGGGAGGGGATAAGGGAATATGGAACTGTATCATAAAATGATAGCAATAATAACAAAATGTAACAAAAATAAATACACTGCCACATAGGACAGAGAAAAAAAAATAAATGGGATGCATTTTAATTATCAACTAAAAATTAACCAAAGGTACCCACCAGCTCTGTGGCTGAAATAACAGTGTCCAGCATGAAGGTGGGGAGGGACATGAGTAAAGTAACAGTCAGAACACTGAGAGAAAGTCAGAGCAAAGCAGACACAAGGAACAAAGTCCCAAAACACAGCCTCTCAGAGATTCAGCACTTAATACCAAATATCTAAACAAATGCCCTAGGAATAAAACAGGAAGGCAGCAACAACTTCCACATTAGATATATCTCACATAACAGACTAAAAATAATCATGCTTGGGGTGCCTCACAGGTAGTGATAGCTTTTGTAGGATCTCTGATGTAGACTTGAAACAGCCTGGCAATGTAGCTTTCCTATGTTGTACCTGGGGAACTGAGCACTGAAATTTATGTTAGTCAAATTAGAGCATTTCTCTCTCTCCCTCTCTCTCTTTCTCTTTCTTTAACATAACTTGTTTTGCATGTTAAACTTGTTTTAAAATGCCCAATTAATGACTTATATCGGGCTTATATTGGAGAGTACTATGCAGACCATGTTTTGTTTCCCAATCTGACTTGAGATATCAACACCTTCTCATTTGGTTTTTGCTTCTTATCTTTTCCTTTTTTTTTTTTTTTTAATTCAGAACTTTCGCCTTCTGACTTCCTAATGAAAGCACATTGCAATCTTTGGCATATCCAACTGCCAGCATCAGTATACTTGTGCTTAGGGCCATTATTAACTAAAATAAAGGTGACATGTAAAAAATGAGATACCTACAGAGTGACCAAAGAGTGGGTGGTATCCAGCAGTGATCAGAGGAATGACTGATGTTCCAGATGGCATAAAATTACATCACACTACTCAGAATGGTGAGTAACTTAAAACATCTAATGGGTCTTTTTCTGGAATTTTACACTTAC